TGGAGGACGCGCATGATCGGACAGCACCGCGCGATGAGCATCTCCTCCGTCTGGGTCAGGCCCTGGAGCTCGACGGGTACGCTCCCAGGATCCATGGTGTTGTCGGCGGAGAACAGCTTCGGACTCTTCTTGTCCTTCTTGCACCGCGGACAACTGTACGAACCAGCGGGTGTGGGGGCGGCAGGTGGTGGGGTATAGAAGGGTAACGTGAGGGCCGTTGCCAACATCAGTGGAGAGCACCTGGCATATGCGGTAGGTATGCAAATTATGAATATCCCGACCAAAGTTCGATCCCTGCTCATGCATTTTTCTATCCACTTTCCTTTTTTCCATTTTTCTTTTCCCAGGCATATGGTATCCTCCATACATCAGTGTATTTTTCTGGTCCTTTTCTTTTTTGCAACATTGCAACATGATGCAACGTGATGCACCAAGCCGACACGTTCATGTCGACGCGTTTGAACACGAAAGACCACCCACCTGTAGACGGCACCTCCGTCCCCTGGTCCGTCCCCTGGTCCGTCCTCTGCGGTGTCCCAACGTTCAGAGCACACTGTGCACACGTGCATCCTCCGGGCGGTCATGGGCTGCTGGAAATTCGTTTGCATCTCTAATCTGGCCCAACCCAACTTTTCCAGCGGCCTAGCAGCGTGAAACTCCGCAAGATCTCTCCGCTTCACATTAGCCTCCCTCTCTCGCCTGGCCCTCTCGGCATCTCTGGCCGCGGCTCTGGCCGCTGCTGCCCGTTCTCTACCCGCTGCACGCCTGCGAAGTGGGGCCCGTGAGGTTAGTCTCAACGTGTAATCTGCAAAGAAGGCAGCAGCGTGATGCGTGATCTGCAAAGAAAGGCAGCGTGATGCGTGCGTGTGGACCATGCGAAGTTGACATGCGGCGAAAAGTATTTTGCAAATTCCAAAAATGCTGGGTACCAACAACCTTTTATGCATGCAATGCACACCACACCAATGCACACCACACCTGGCCTCTGTCGCTTGTGGTGTCTGCTGCTGGCGCCTCGCAGCCTCTCTCTCTCGGTTATCCGCCAGCTGCTGTGGTGTTTGCCGCTGGCGCCTCGCAGCCTCTCTCTCTCGGTTGACCGCCCGCTGTTGTGGTGTCTGCCCTCGCAGTCGCCTAGCGGCGGCTGTAGCGGCGGCTCTCTGCCGGCCCGCCCGCAGCCTGTGTGTGTGTGCCGTGCGTACGAAGTGTACGATGTGTTGTGTGTGGGCAGTAGTCGTGCTGTGTGCGCGGAAGAAGAAAGCAGTAGTAGTCTGCAGTAGTAGTGCTGTGTGCGCGGAAGAAGAAAAGGCAGTTGGTGTATTTGAACTCGATTTCCCCTCTCCGGCAATCGCCGCCCAGACGCACGCACACGCAACGCACCTTTCTGCCCGTGCTCCATCGGTCTCCGCCGCACGCCTGGCGGCAGTCCTCTGACGAGCAGCAGCTCTCGCCCGGTCAAGCTGTGGGCTGCCTAGGGGCTCCCTCTCCCCGTGGCTTTGTCTGCGCCGCGAGTCTGTGTGCGTCTCTGCCTCACGGAGGGAGTTCGGGTCAATCGGCCCCAACGGACGTCTACTCATCATGCAATTGCCATGCCATGCAGGCCGCTGTGGCTGTGTCCGCTCTGCGCTGTTGGTGTGTCGCTGTGCCCGCTGAGCGCGTGTTGTCTGCTGTGCGTGTGTGTTCAGTCTGCTCGCTGAGCGCGTGTTGTCTGCTGTTGCTGTTTGCTGCTCTGCTGTGTAAAAAAAAAAAGTGCGCCCTGTAGTCACAAATCAAGTCCTGTACTCTAAAACCTAGTTTAAGCGAACACAACACACGCACGCACTTTTTTTCCTGCATCGGCCCCTATATTGCGCTGAGCCCTCTCAGGCAAGATTAGAAATCTCGCTTCGCTCGAATAATAAAAAGACACACGTTTTTTCAACCGCACTGACGTCTTTTCATTGGTCAGCCGGTTAGCGCGGTCGATGCTAATAATAAAAGCACACACACACACCTCACGAGGTGCAAACTACGACGGGCTGTTGAGCTTTTACCGTTTTCAGCGGCACGGGGACTTGCGTTTTCCATTGGCCAGCCGGTTGACCCCTGTCGTTGCTAACAAATACTCTAGTACCATATGGTACGAAGAAGTATGCACCATGCAGATGACCATGGCATGTGCTGTCTCCCACCGATGCACCTCTCACACCCGACCTCCACTTTTCAAAACCTTTTTGCTTTCAGGGCATCGCCCACCGGTACCCCGCCCCGAAGCCGCTGCCCCTGGCGAGACCACCGTTCAAGTTTTCCGACGTGCAGAAGGCCGTCCCTCGGCACTGCTTCAAGCGGAACCTGGCCACCTCCGCCACCCACCTAGCCTCCGACCTCATCATGGTGGCCACCTTCGGCTACCTGGCCACCTTCATCAGCAGTGGAGCAATTCCGGCCTGGGCAGGATGGCTGCTGTGGCCGACGTACTGGTTCGTACAGGGGACGCAAATGACTGGCGTGTGGGTTCTCGCCCACGAGTGCGGCCACCAGTCCTTCTCCGAATCGAAGACGGTCAACAACCTTGTGGGCCTGGTGTGCCACTCGGCCCTCCTCGTGCCGTACCACTCCTGGCGTATCACGCACGCCAAGCACCACAACAACACGGGCTCCTGCACCAACGACGAGGTGTTCTGCCCGCCGGTGCGAACCGACAACGGGAAGTCGCCCACGGCGGAGGAGGACATGGCGGAGCTGGTGCACGAGGCGCCGCTGGTCCAGATGTTCTGGATCATCTTCATGCTGGTCCTCGGGTGGATGCCCGGGTACCTTTGCTTCAACGCGACCGGCCCGTCCAAGTACAACGGGTTCGCGAAGAGCCACTTCAATCCCTGGGCGAAGGTAAGAGGGGGGGGGGGGGGGGGGGGGGGGGGGGGGGG